TTTTTTTTTTTTTTTTTTTTTATTGTGACTCGGCAAAATGACTGCACCGCGCCTGATGGAAAGTGCGAATACAGTCTAGAGATGAGAGTAACGGATGGAAAACACAAATATCTTCACTCCGTCACTATCATTTTGCCGGTCTGGCCAAATGCTTCTTCACACTACGTTTGAAGGACCCGATGTTATAGAGGGGAGGGAATACATGCGCCGGGAGTTGGTTCCACAATTTAATGGTTCGGCATAAAAACGAATTGCCAAACTTTTTAGTGCGGGACGGTATTGAACTGACCGTCCAACTGTGGCAACGCAGTCCGGCACGGGTGGTCCGCTGATGGAAAGGAGAGGAAGGGACAAGGTTGAATAACTCTTCAGAGCACTCACCGTGGTACAGACGATAGAATACGCTAAGAGACGCTATATCTCTGCGAAGCTGTAACGACTCCGCATGCTCAGTTACATGAGGATCGTTGACAACACGGAAGGCGTAGCGCTGCAATCCATCTAGGGCATCGAGCAAGTACTTGGCAGAGCCGTCCCAAAGGTGCGAACAGTACTCCATGCTGCTTCGGACCTGAGCTTTATACAACAGGTATCGCAGCTCTGGAGTAAAAAATCGGTGCACCTTGTTCAGGATGCCAAGCTTGCGCGACGCGGTACAGATGACGCTCTCGATGTAATCTTTGTTGCTCATGTCCTTCCGGATGCTCATCCCCAGTAGACTGAGCCTGTCCTGCAGCGTCAGCGTTGTACCCTGAAGATGGGGAAGTGGAAGGAATGGGGATTTTTTGGAGCTGAACGCGCATACCTGGGTTTTCTTGGCGTTGAACTCAACCAAGTTTCGGGAGCCCCACGACGATATATGCTCCAAAACATGGTTGAGCTCAGCGACAAGTTTTTCCCGGTTTCTCTCAGGGTCCTCCCGGGTGCTTGACGATTGCTTATAATAGCAACCGTGCACTGTGCTATCATCTGCATAGCAATGAATGTTGCCAAAAGACAACAAGTCATTGATATGCAGAAGGAACAGCGTGGGCGACAGCACTGAGCCCTGTGGCACCCCAGCATTAACTGTCACGAGCCGCGAAGTGCCTCCGTCAACAAGGACACGCAATCTTCGCTCGCGCAGAAAGCCGGAGATCCACTCACAAAGGCGGCCGGGAAGACCATATGCCGGAAGCTTGGAGAGGAGACCACGGTGCCAGACCCGATCAAAGGCCTTAGCAATATCCAGACTTATCGCTAAGGTTTCGCCCTGTTTGTCGATAGCTTCACCCCAGAGATGCATTAGATACGCTAGAACGTCACCCGTTGATCGGTTCGGCCGAAACCCATACTGCCGATCATTAAGAATGGAGTGACGTTCCAGGTGCCGGATTATCTGGATATTTAGAATCCGCTCCATCACTTTGCAGAGCACTGAAGTGACAGCTATTGGGCGATAGTTTGTCGGATCAGACCGATCTCCTTTCTTGGGGATAGGTTGCACGTTGGCCTCCCTCCAAGCTAGGGGCACGTTACCAGATTGGTATGAGAGGCGGTATAAGCGCGTCAGTACGGGAGACAACTCCGCCGCACACCTTTTAAGGACGATAGGAGGTATCCCATCCGGACCATAGGCTTTCCGCACGTCAAGAGTCTGCAATTCCTTGCGGACATCACATTGTCTGATAACTATATCAGGCATTGTGACTCCGCAGTGGGGAATTGACGGCGGTTGCGCATCTTGGTCGTGAATGCGCGAGTTAGCCCCAAAAAGGTCGGCCAATAAATTGGCTTTCTCTTCGGGGCCATAGGCCAAAAATCCATCGGGATACCTCAAAGGCGGCAGCGACGAACGACAAAAATTGGACTGCACGGCTTTGGCCAGGCTCCAGTAGGCACGGCTACCGGTGGGATGGGCTACCAGCTTCTGGCCAATCCGTGAAACGCGCTGGGCATCCGCTCTTATGTAAGCCCTCCTGCAAGACTTGGTTGCTTTGTTATAGGCTGCTTTAAGGGACGCAAGGTTGGGATCCTTTGTTACACGACCCCTGATCCAACCACGATATGCAGCCTGTTTCTCACTAACAGCGTCCATGCATTCGCGACTGAACCAAGGGCGTCCTCTGCGATTGGCGATGACACTGGAAGACGGTATGTAGTAATCCATAGCCGTTCCAATCTCATCGACAACAGCATCGGCAGCTGCTGAGGCATCCTTTCCCGCAAAGCAGTGCTGCAACCAAGGGATGGACGCAAAGTAGTCGCGCATACCATCCCAATCCGCCGACGAGTAGTGCCAAATGCGACGAGTGACCTCCTTCAGCTTAGTTGGAGGCATTTGGGAAACCTTACACCCAACCAAACAGTGATCAGAACTTCCCAGGGGGGCGCTGACTGATACTGTATAGTAGGTAGGGTGACTCGCGAGCAGAAGGTCAAGCAAAGAGGGTGCATGATCCGATATGTCTGGAACCCGGGTGGGCTGGGTTACCAGTTGGGTCAAGTCATGCGTGAGAGCGAAAGCGTGGGCAGTTCTTCCTGCATGGTCAGTCTTCAGGGAACTTAACCATGATTCATGGTGAGCATTAAAGTCCCCCAACACGACCATCTCCGCAGATGGGAACTGCGCCTGCGCGTCAAGAGTCGCCTGGCTCAGTTGGTCAAAGAGCCTAGTTGTCTCCGCATCCCCACTGTGGGATCTATATAAGCACGCGAAGACTCTAGCTGAACAACTAGATTCTACGAGCACCCACATAGTGGAAAAGGAGGGGTCCTCCAGGCAGCGCAGACGGCGACAGCACACATCCGAACGAATATATACACATACCCCGGCTTTGGCCTGAAAGTTTTCCTCAAGCGAGTAGCCGGGGTAGTTCAAGTAACTCATATCATTCGGACGGCGGATCTGCGTCTCCGTCAGGAAAAGCAGGGCAGGCCGGGCTGTCTCGAGGTGATGGTGGACAGCTTTGAGGTTGGAGTGGAGTCCGCGGATGTTAGCGAACTCAATAATAAACGCGGTGGGGGGATTAGGCACCGCTGAACGATCTGCATTCTTATGTTGCGCTGTCATGGTGGGTAAGAAGGACGGTAGTGTGAAGAGGTGAAGCCTTCGGCACCGCACCGAAGAAGAAAAACGAGGGGAACTGCAATACATGCCATTGATCTTTTGAAGGATAGCCGGCTGACCCGCCGAACGGAAGGGCCCCCGTACCCCCCCGGGATATGCCGCCGGGACCCCATATTCCGGTCACTAACCGGCACGACGACCTACCCCAAGATTATGCGCGGCATGGTGGGGCAGCCTCTAGGGGTAGTTAGTCCCTATTGGGCCCCTGTACTGTACCGCGGGCGACCAGCGGACAACCGTTTCTACGGGTCTCCCTGGGCGGCAGGTCAACTAGATATCCCTCAACAAGTGACATGGCGAATATCCGCCTCAGTCCTCCCAGATACCGCGCCGAAAACTCCACGTGCACTGGATGTACACCAACTGATCCCTGAACGCGATTCGCAAAAGCGTTTCACTGTGGAGGGTTTTCCGCCGTGTGTACTGTGGTCGCTATCCAGTCGGCACAAAGCCTACCACAACGCTAAGCAGATGGTCACTTGTGACGCCCTCGGTCGCCTCTTACGACCCCCACGGGCATGTATGGGGAGGCGACAATGTATTCTTAAGCCGTCGCCCCACGGCACAAAAATTTACAAAGTTTTACAAAAAGTTTACAAGTTGATATGTTACTTGGTATGCACCAAATGCAATAAGGAATTTCATGAAGCGTAGCTTGGTTTGATGAATAGCCGTGAAGCTGCAGTTTCCATCAGTGATGCTGCACCCTGGATTTTTCTGCTTTGCACGAACAAACAATTTTACAATGATAATACTCCTGTACGTTTCAATTGTAATGCACTACGAGATCTGGTAAAAGGCAGGCACTAAATTCTCCACCGAACACGAATGATCAAAAACCTATTACTAGAGTTGAAATTCACGGTATTTTAAAAGGTTTTCGTTCCGAGATGCAAAAGACAAGGCAGAGTAGGTACTGTGACCAGCATTTCTGATACGGGACTGAAATAAACAGAGGAGGAGATTATGCAATTAAAGGAATCTATATTTTATGAACTTACGTTTTGAGGAAATAAGTAAAGAGTACGCTCAGTCCCAAGTCACAATGAAATCACTGAGAGGCGAAATGACTCAAGGCAGTCTATAACGGGTAACTTGCGCACAAGTCGAGTCAATTAAATGGAACAAA